AACAGCACACATTCCCACTGCACCGCCAGTTACAATAAATAAATAAAAGCAGCATCAACAAATCCCCAAACTGTGAGTGACGGTCACAAAGGCCACCGCAGCATGTGACAGCAGCAGACTCACCTAATGGCACCAGAGAGCTGTCTTATGTTTTCAATGACAATTAAAGTGCACATATAAAGAGCTTTAGCTGGTCTGTTTTAGCCACCAAATCCCTCTCATCAGACAAAATGAGTTGGCAAATAGGATTTTTATGCCGTTGCTTCCAGAAACAGCGGATGAATGCGATCCCCTGCTGCACACCTGCCCAGCACTCATTAGGCTTTGGCTTGTGTGCAGCCTAATGCATATTACCAAAATGCTGCATGTTAGACTATTCATCATTTTGAAGGCTCCTTACATTGTTTCTTCATTCAAAAAGACAGCAGAGGTGACAGATGGGTGCAGTTTCCACCCTTTAGTAAACAGTGACTAACTCAAATCGTTCTGCCAGGGGAACTTTTTTCATTTGATCTTGATCCAACTATACAACAAGGAGAACTTTAAGACCCATAACAGAATGGGTGACTCACATATGTGGAGGACACTCACACACACAGGCAGCAGATGAGAAGTTCAACTTGAACCACACAGAGATACAAACACATGTTCAGTTCATACAGAGAGGAAATGCAACCAGAAGAAGGAGGAGGAGGAAAAATTCTATAAAATAAATCAGAGAGGATTTTAAAACAGGGCCCAGCGAGCCATCAGGGATCACAACTGTCATTTCCAGGTGCTTTTAATCTGACCATGACAGCTAATATTAGGCTTGTAGTTATTCATAAGACGTTTGGAGTGCTGTAGTAAATTAAGGGAACTGATCCAATGTCTGGAGTGCATAGCAGTCAATGACTCAGAAAGCTGGACTGGACATTGTGAGAATGAGCCAGGTGTGCAGGAGTGACAGACGGATCAGGGCTGGGTTGAAGTGACATCGGGGGGACTCTGAGCCCCTTCTTCCTTGGACTGGCGATGGACAGATTCACAGACGAGGCAGATGAGAGTTTGCTTGGACTATGATGTTCTCAGACAACATTATTATATGCAGCGAAAGAGATGAGAGCCTGACAGGTGGAGGTATGCACTGGAGAGAAGAAGGATGAATGTCAGTAGAAGCAAAACAGAAAACATGCATGTGCATGAGAGGCAAACAGGTACAACAATAAAGACACAACAAGCTGTGAAATGCCGCAAACATCCACAGCAGTGCACAGTGCAGAAGAGAGGTGGATCAGTGTGGAGAGGGTGGAGACGAGCGTCAGGGTGACAGCAGCAACAGGAAGGTATGGGTTTGATGCACGCTCAGTCCAGGAGCGCTGATCCTGTTCATCTGGACTTTTGTGACATCAGTATAAGACATCATGAAACTCGCTGAGCTTGAGTAAACTGGTCTTTAAGTGCAAACTCTATGACATGCTCCTTTCATCCCTACAGACAGTTACACATCCAGTTTACACAATTGTAAATTGGATATCTAACGGACTCGAGCTTTTCTGAATTCAAGTAACGTGTGGCACGTGCATTTGTTTGTCACACTGATTAAAAAATGCAGTGCTTAAGAGAGATCAGGGGGTTGGGAAGCGTATCTGTAACCGGAAGGTCGCCGGTTCGATCCCCGGGCTCTCTGTCCTGGTCGTTGTGTCCTTGGGCAAGACACTTCACCTACCGCCTACTGGTGTTGGCCAGAGGGGCCGATGGTGCGATATGGCAGCCTGGCTTCTGTCAGTCTGCCCCAGGGCAGCTGTGGCTACAACCGTAGCTGCCTCCACCAGTGTGTGAGTGTGAGAGTGAATGAATAGTGGCATTGTAAAGCGCTTTGGGTGCCTTGAAAAGCGCTATATCAATCCAATCCATTATTATTATTAAATCCAGCCCACGGCTGGCTGGGCTGTAAGTCCTCTGGGTAAGAGTCCGAAGGTTTCTGCCCGAGTTCTTGTGGCATCACGTACAGCAGGTGCCAACAGTGAGGTGTCCTCACGGCAGCCTGCTGCCTGAACATGTCCAACCTCTGCCTGGGCATGTTCATGGCAGCTTTCTGATCTCTACAGCCCAGATGACACATGGGTCAGGTGACATTATTGGCCTATCAGATATCAGCATCAGAATCAGAATCCTTCCAGAGGAAATTATGTTTAAAAAGAAGAAGAAGAAGATGAAGAATACTTTTCACTTCCATAACAATTCATAAATGGTGTCATCCCATAGTTTTATTCAATTGGATGCCATTTGTAGTCACTGAAATGCAAATCTGTTCAGTTCAAACTGCACCAAATCGAGTTGTTACTGAAAGATGTGACACCTTTATATTTATTGTTTACTGATAACCACGAGCCTTCATTCATTTATACTAGCTGACCTGAGCAAAGGGTAACCTCCACACAGTTATGATGAAGCACACTGACGCCCAATACTGACTGAAGTATTATTGGATGAGATACTTATTTGCAGTGTTTGCATATTAAAAGGATAAAACTATTATTTGTGTTTAAAAAGTGCTGTTACGTTCCCCTGAGGGGTCTAGGCGGTGAGGGGGAAGTAACAAAAGGTGTCCAGGTCAGAAAAAGGAGTCAAGGAGGCAAAAGGGTTAAATTAAAGAGTTTTATTAAAGTAGCTCAACTAAGAGAGACGGACAAGCCGCTATCACCATTTAAGAAAAACAAACAAAACTCAGGCGTTGGTCAATAAAGCAAAGTCAAAAGGAAAGCGCAGCTCACTGGCTGGAAACCACAAACACAGCTCACTAGCTGCAATCACCACAAAACACACACAGCTCACTAGCTGCAAACACCACACAAAATGGCACTCTGGCCCAGAGCTCACCTTTCCCTGGGCTTAAATACTTTTAATTACTGATGTGAGTCAGCTGTGTTACAGGGAAAGGTAGCACCTCAGGCAGAAGAAGTGGTGGGACACGCCCACACAGGCACCTTCAGGAGGAGGCCCTGCTAGGGCCGTAACAAGTGCGACATTTCTCTTTAAGTCCTGGACTGACGCGGAGGTGCAACCCTGGCAGGGATGGATGTGCCAGCAGTTACACAGAAACACCAGCAGCCTTCCTCACCAACTCAATTCAGTCAGCAAAGACAATATGGTGCCGAGCGATCATGGGGGGTGGAGCCTAGCACACTCCAGACAACCATTCACACCCATGGGCAGTTTAAAATCATCAATTAACCCAACCCCACCAAATGCATGTGTTTGGAGGACGCTGGATTACTCAGAGAGACGCCACGCAAACATGGGTAGAACACGCATGCAGAACAGGCCAGGTGGTGGATTCCAACTCAGGACCTCAGGACCCACCATGCACCCCCCCACTGGTGCGGGTCCTGATGCTGCTCAATGGATAATGTGTTAATAACAAATGGATGCCACATTTGATACAAATGTGGAAAAAAACTACAGTAAGCTAAATTCAAAGAGACTCCAAAAACCAAAGTGATAAACTGATGCAGCAGGATACTCCTTATGTGCCTGTATGGATGTCTGACAACATGGGGGACGCTCCTAATGAGACAAGGGACAGGGTCTCCTCGCAGATCTGGACCAGGGCATCGTTGAGGTGAATCTGGGCAGGTTAGGTGGACCAAAACATGCTGCTCTACTGGATTTAGGTCAGGCATAGTGTGCATGTACACCACACGGTGTGTGGGGGCACAGCTGAAAAACAGTGTTGTTATTGACACTGGTGCTTATATTGTTCTAATTTTTTTTTAAATGCCTCTTACTTTTTTGTACCATATCAAGTCTGAGCGCACCTAATAATCTGACCTATGGAACCCATATTATATGGATAAAGTCATCAGGAAGGCCAGCTCTGTGCTGGGATGCACCCTGGACCCAGTGCAGGTGGTGGGAGACAGAAGGACTCTGGCCAAAATAACATCTCTGATGGACAGAGTCTCCCAGCCCATACATGTAGATGTTGCTGCAGAGCTGCTTCAGTGACAGACTGCTGCATCCTCGATGCATGAAGGAGCGTTTCTGCAGGTCCTTCCTCCCTGCAGCTGTCAGACTGCACAATCAGAACTGCTCCCAACAAACAGAGGTTTACATCAGCGCTGTAACTGCACCTTTCAGTATCCGGCTCTGTTTGCACACTACAGCCTGGGCTTGCCACTTATCTGTACTCTAATTTTAATAACTGTACAGTACTCTGCTTTGGTAACTATTGTCCATGATGTAAATATGTAAAAATGGTGTTTGTTCTGTTTGAATATGTGGTTTTTGCTGCTGATACAACCAATATGAGTATTTAAATGAAAAAAAAAAAAGGTAAGCTTAAAAGTTTGGTGGTGCGTACCCTGGGAGGGGTGACGGGCAGCAGCAGCAGCAGTAGTAGTGAGCTTACACTACTGGGAAAAGTACAGATAAAGAAACGGTAGAAGATTCATTCAGACCAGAACCTTCAATTCCAACAGTTTCTATGGGAATGAATCAAAGTCAGGATTCGGTCTATCAGACCCGAGCACAGCACAGTCGATGACTCTAAACAGCCACACACTGGACACTGAATGAAAACGCAGAAGAGTGAACGTGTGAGTAAGAGTGACACACTGCACGCTCACAGTTCAGACCAACTGAGGGATCATTTTAATGAGGAAACAGAACAGATCCGATTGTTTCACAGCAGAGAACCTTTCAGTTGGCAACGACTGCCAATAACAGGAAATCACTGAACACTCCAGCAAAGCTTCTGCTTCCTTAGAACAACATGTTACGATCATAGAAACCAATCAGCACAGACTGTAAAACTCTCACCCTGCACACCATCAGCACCTGGTCCAGGTGTGACCAGCTCCAGCTTTATGTTTTTAAGGAAAAGATCTCAAATATGAAAACTCATCAATTTTAAAAAAGGTTTTCTGGCGTCAAACACCTCTGGGGAACACCCCGCCTAAGCCTAAGATAAGACACCCGAACAGTTACGGACAAATCAAATGTTGTGGTCAACTCACCGACTGTGGCGACAGTCTCCAGGTCATCAAGGCAATATGTGCGGTTATGTGGTGAGGCGTCCTCAGCTGAGCTGCTCGCGTTGCTTTTACTGTCTTTAAGGGCGTTTGTCTCACTGTTGACTCCGACCTTTGCTTTGGATGACGCCATCGCTGACTTTCGGAACTATTCTGGGACTATGTGGATCTATAAACATCCAGCCAGGGGCAAACTGAGCGAACACCACGCATTTCTGGAGACGGACTTCTTCGTCAACCTTGCACAGCACGTCGGATACCAGTGACTGGGGCTTGCCGCCCTGGATGATTGCAAAAAACCTCCTAAAGTTCACCTTAATAAGCTGAGTTAACTAACAGTCAATGGGGAAAATAACCGCAGATTGAAATGACACAAAGAAGCCGGTCACAGGTGCACTAGTCTGTAGCGTTAGCGGCTAACACAGTGTCCATGGAGAATGCAGCGCTGCACATCTGTTCAAGCATAATGAAAGTGGGCTTCATACGCCGCACAACGCAGTCCTGCATAAACCACGGGCCTCTCCCGACATATCGTCAGTAATTCTCCCCATTATTATCGCAACTACAACAACAGACCTCACCCTGAATTTCTTCTTTCTGTCCACATCGACCAGGAAGAGATTCCGGTCGCTTTTCAAGTAATTTCCGGTTAGGACTTTCAGAAGAAAAGAAAACGAACCGGTTTACTGGATAAAACGAGAACGTGAGCGAGATCCGAGTTTTCCTTCATCATTGTCGTTTTACATCTGCACGTTAAAGAAGCGGTATATGTGCAAAGTCTGAAAAAATGCAAATATTTTCTATGTTATATTAGTCAACGTCTTGAACGTGCTGTCTTACTGGAAGTGACCTGGCACGGAAACTGGATGTTGACGAACAATCGGTTAACGAATAAAACGAATTAGTTCCGAGACGTTAACCAATCATGTGTGAGTCATGAGTCAGGGCGTGGTGATGAAGACAGGTACCGGACCCCGAGCTTTAACAAGCAGACAAAGCTATTACAGTTTTTGCCCGTTGCCTGAACACATTTTGCAAAACTTTGCTCATTGTGCCAAAACCCTAAACACAAGTACACATGACACAACACTGGGAAATATACCATTCACATCTGCACCAAATTGAAACTCTACTCTCAAAACCTAAACTCTGCTATCAAAACCTAACATTCCTTTGTCAAAATGTAACTCTGTTGACAAAATGACACATACTTGCATCATATGTAAACACTTACAGAGCAGGGGGGACACACTAGTCTACTTTATATAAAGCACTGCAGTCTTTGATTTCCATTGTTCATTCAGAAGGCATATTGGTACATATTCAGCTCGAAGTCCTTTGACCCCGTCACTGTTCCTCTCAAATGGGACTCTGTAGAGCTGCTTCATGGTGATGCTGTGTTTTCCCAAGATGCATCTGATGGTGGTGATGCTCACATGGTCTATGTTGTTGAACACTTGCCTGTCTGCAAGTATTTGCTTTCGTAGCTGGTGGAGACGGATGGCATTGTCTGCCCTCACTAGGTCCACAACGGCGAGTTCCTGCCGTTGTGTGAACAGGCGTTGGCGTCCTCCCCCAGAAGGTCTTCGAGTCATTCTAGAGAAATACAACCACATATTGTCATCGGTTTGCTTATTTTTCTTACAGTACTTCACTGTATATACTGTATCATCCACTGTACAACACTGTACTTCAATATAAGTAATCATGCTATGTTTCACAGAAACTACCACTTTGGCTGCAAAAGGAGCATTAGCACCCTGCAATACCCTGCACACTTGATATGGTAACTGTAGAACAGTACTATGAAAACCATCTGAGTAGAGTAGAAGGCAGTGAGGTGAAGACAGACCTGTTTTCTAGTCGGAATTTTCTTATTACAGATGCCACTGTGAAGCGGCTTAGATGTGGGTGGACTCTCTGCCCAGCTTCCCTCATAGTCAGGCCGTGGTTGATGACATGGTCCACCAAAGTTGCTCTTATATCATCAGAAATATGGGTCCGTGCATGGCCTCTTTGACGACCTCCTCCTCTTCCTCTTGCTCTCCCTCCATCCATGCTTGCAAAGTTCTTGAATTGGCTAAACTGAGGGCTTTTTGTGGTTGGCTAATTGGTGTTCAGTTTTGCAAGTAAGTGCCTTCAGGTGTGTGTTTGAGTGGTTGCAATTACCCGATGTGTTTTGTATTTTGGATACATGTGTTTTCCAAATGGCACCCTGAAATTTCATTTTTGAACGAAGTGTCTTATGTATGAAATAGAGTGTAGTATGCAGGACCATGTGTGTTGCATAAAGGAGTAAGTGTGTTGCATAATTGCAACCAGAGTGCAAAGCAGCACTTTTGTTTAAGGTATGGGTACATGTGTTTGAGGTATGGTAACAAAAGCTTCAAGTTGTGTTACTTTAGTCTAAGCATGGGTTTATAGTGTTCAAGCAACGGGCAAAAACTGTAACAGTAAAAGAATATCATACATGTATGAAATTAACAAAGGACATCTTATTACTCTTCAGGTCCTGCATGCAATCAGCCTAAGAGATGCACTATACATTAACCTGTATAATTATTTGCTGTGAAACAGTGAGCCATCATAATTTCAAACCTACCAACTGCTGGAGCCTGCAGAAACATGTCTCAAGCAGCACCTGCCGTGCCGGCTTCTTAGTTATTACTAGAAATGAGGTAATGTTTTGGTAGCATTTGCATATGTGTGTGATCATTCTGTAAACACAATGGCATGAAAGGTTTTAGCTGAATTCTAATAAACGTTGTAGGCATGTAGAATAGAGTAATATAGATAGAGTACATTCATCCTTTACATTTTGCTCAAGTACACAAAGATCTTCAAGGTCAGCTTAATGACTTTTTGGTTAAAAATTGACAAAATGCGGTATAACTTAGAAACTCTGATTCTAACAAGGGTGATATTATTAGAAATAACCTGTCACATTTGAATTGGGACTTCTCCCTCAAGGTCAGGAAATTGATCTGAAGATCAAAATGATAGTAAATAGAACTACTTAACTCATTCACTGCCAGCCATTGGCAGTGAATGAGTTAAACCCATTGACTCATTCACTGCCATTGACGGCGATAGACGTCAATGGCAGTGAATGAGTTAATATGTATCTTACTGCCAGTAAATGGTAAAATGGTAAATGGCCTGCATTTGTATAGTGCTTTACTCAGTCCCTAAGGACCGCAAAGCGCTTTACACTACATTCAGTCATTCACCCATTCACACACCTTTTCACACACTGGTGATGGCAGCTACATTGTAGCCACAGCCACACTGGCCCTCTGACCACCACCAGTAAGGGGCCTCCGGCCTTCTCTTTCTGGGATGGCTGCACAGTATTTGCTGAGATGTGTGGCCTTAGGTCTTCGGTACTCTTGGAGGCTGTGGATGGCCAAGATCTCCTGGATCCATCTCTGCCTGCCTCTGGTTTCTGGGGGGCGTTACTGCAGCTCCCCACCCTCATAATGAAGTTCATTACTCACTATGCCTCTTTCTCTCTCTCTCTCTCTCTCTCTCTCTTTCTCTCACACACACACACACACACACTCTCTCACACACACACACACACACACACTCTCACACACACACACACACACACACACTCTCTCACACACACACACACACACACACACATACACTTACACACACTCTCACACACTGTCTCACACACACACACACACACACACACACACACACACACACACACATACACTTACACACACTGTCTCACACACACACACATACACACACACACACACACACACACACACACACACACACACTGTCTCACACACACACACACACACACACTTACACACACTCTCACACACTGTCTCTCACACACACACACACACACACACACACACACACACACACACACACACACACACTGTCTCACACACACACACACACACACACACTTACACACACACACACACACACACACACACTTACACACACTCTCACACACTGTCTCTCTCACACACACACACACACACACACACACACACACTGTCTCACACACACACACACACACACTTACACACACTCTCACACACTGTCTCTCACACACACACACACACACACACACACACACACACACACACACACACACACACACACTTACACACACTCTCACACACTGTCTCACACACACACACACACACACACACACATACACTTACACACACTCTCACACACTGTCTCACACACACACACACACACACACACACACACACACACACACACACACACTTACACACACTCTCACACACTGTCTCTCACACACACACACACACACACACACACACACACACACACACACACACACACACACACACACACACTTTGCTCCATCCTTTTATCATGTTCTCTACTCCCCCCCTTTATTTTCTCCTGCCTGTCAGCCTCCACATTACGACACATATAACGTAATATAAAAAATATATTTTTAAAAATGATCATTTTGAGAAATGTCGAAATTTCAAGATTACAGTTTTTTTACAGCCGCTAGGACACATGTCTCAATACTTAGGTCACTTTTGCAAAACTCTTCACACAATTCTCCTAACTGACCGTCAGCTTGGCAAAGCAGTTCATTTCACATTCAAAATGCACTACAACTACCAAAACACTTCATTCAGGTCTCAAATAAACTCATTCTTCCAGAACACTAGCAAAGGTTGACAGCCGACAAACACACTTTGTCACCCACAAAACAATGACCTAAAAAACACTAACAACATGTTACACAGTGTTTCCTGTGTAAAACAAGGACACATCTCTGTTTATAATTTCAATATATGTTACTGGAATGAATCAGACATCATGCAGAATTCGTTAATATTTGTTTATGTAGTTTTATTTTTTTGCACTAAGTAATCCCAAAATACAAGAATTTGTATACACACCATCCACTGATACACATACAGTAGTAATGCTATTCTACTCGGTCTTCTCCATTTGGCCACAGGTTCTCATCCACATCACATCTTATGTCATCTATGGGCAACACACCTAGGAAAGAATCTCCTGGCTGCCAGAATTGAAGGAGTTGAAAAATTGAAGGAGTAACACCTGTGTAGATGTTCATCTACAATGGGAATCAGCTGTGGCTGGTTAAACTGCATTTTTAGATTTAAAATATGTTTCAATAAAATATTGCTGTTGAATTTTGCTGTCTTTTTAAGTTTTGCATTGTGTTATTGTTTTGGCCATAAGTTTAACAGTTTTGAAAACAGTATGTAAGCACATGCAAAATGTCCTGTACCTACAAAGATTTTTGGCAGTTGTTGTGTCTGAGTGAGAAAATAATTCATGAAATTTGAGAGATGTAGTCATTGAATGCATTTTGTGCCAAAACAATGATAACTGGTCCTCAGTTTAGCCCACATAGACTTCTGTTGTGCTCACTGTGTGAGGAGTTTTGCAAAAGTGACCTAAGTATTGAGAAATGTGTCCTAGCGTCTGTAATAAACTGTAAGTACTACTTACAATAATTAAAAAAACAACGAAAAAAGTGAAATACTATTTCCATAAGAAAGTCAAAGTGTGGAGATTACAGTTGTTGTTGCAGGACAAACTGCCACGGCTGCTGCGTCTTGTGTAGATGAGTTAGTAAAACAAACTGATCGGCCATCTTATCGTGTTTTGTGATACATACATCCTGTTTATTGCACGAGAGTGTAACCATCCATGTCCTTGTCCATTACCAGGCATTTCATTTTGTACAAATTCAACCAACTCACCAAAGTCTATATGTTTTTTTCCTTCAGCCCAAGCTTCTGAACAAAGCTTCAGTT